CTTTCCCTTGCACTTGCCACAGGTGAACAGATCGGTCTGAGTGCCTCCGGTGGTGGCCATCTGGTGGTCCCTGACAGCCTCTTTGGTCAAGTTCTTCCTCATTTCCTTCAGTTCATCACTGGCCATTTCCTACAGAAAAAGATGAATGCCGAAAAAACCCTTTAGTCTAATTTAAAACTGATAGTTGTAAATAGAAATAAACACTATATAATCAGGTTATATCACCATAATAACAATTATGCTACTGCAGCTACCAAGAACAGTGCTGACTATTTGTTCCATGATCTTTAACATTAAGCAATCAACAGCAGCAAACCTCTGCAGTCATCTTAGCCATGCGCTCAGGGGTTACACTCCCACATAGCACAGTCCTCCTTAAATTAGGGTTTTTCATATCTTTCAGATTTGAGATTCGGCTCCGCACACGGTTCTTGTATTTCATGTCTGTGTTCTTAAACTCTTGGAAGATGCGTGATAGCAGGTCAAGGAATTCAGTTTCAGCAACGTATTATTTATGTTACATTCTAAAAAGTCTAAAAGCCTGAAACTACACCGATAAACTAAACTTTTTACATTAGTGTTAAGCAGTTCATGTGAAGATTTTTTCCCCTACATTTAATAATTCAGTGTTTCACGCAGCTGATCATTCAAAACAAGCAATTAAAAAACAAAAGACATTACTTTGACCTCTAAGAAACAGATGGACATTCCAATGGCTTCTGACATTTTAAGGACAAATTAATTTACAAACTGAAAAACTAAACAACAGATGAATAAATGATGAATGGCACAGCTCTAATGTGCTTATTTATATCACTAGCATCTATAATAAATAAGAGATGTCATTTAAAACACAGCAGCATCGAGAATCTCATGACATTCTGAAGAAACACAGCCATCTGCAGAAAAGGATATATTCCTCAATCTGTGCCCCAAGTTCTTCACAATCGGCACCAATAGCAATATAATCATCTGAAAAACAACAACAACAAAAAATAAAAATCAGAGGGTGGACAAAAACATGTTAAATATTCAGCTAATGACAGCTGCCAACCACAAAAAGAGGTATGCCGTGTTGACAATGTGCTGAACATATAATAACTGGATTACCTCCAGTCTGCAGAGCACTGGCCAGCATCTCTCTGCATTTGAGCCTGATTGAGTCAGATGTGCTGGGAGCACGAGGAAAGGTGCTGATTAACGTGTTGGGTGTGACTTCAGTGGGTTCGCTCTTGCTGCTGGAGTTACTGCTTGAGCTGCTATGGAAGCAGTGAGATGAGATAAATTAGATACTGAAGCAAACCTCATTTGAAATAAAAAAAGAAAGTTGTATATTTGTAAAGTCAGTGCTCAAAGTGGTCCGGTACGCTCTGGTACACAGTACTGGCAGTTCTACATTTTACTCTTTAGCATACCGGATCTTTTTCTTGCAAACTGGTAGGACTGGGCAATACGGCAAAAATTTGTATAATTATAATTTTTTTCATATGTTAACAATAATTATTGATCGATTTAATGAGAGATTACAAGGCTATATTTTTTGTAAACAACAGGAGAAAAATGTTTAATTAAACCACTATTTTTTATCAAGGCACACAAGTGCTGACCTAACATCAGTAAGATAATAGAAATATAAACTCTTTCAAAGTCAGCTTTAAGATAGACAAGCTAACCTCTGTGAGATGTAACAAACCTTATAAGAAAAACTTATCAAACTAGGTAAACAAAAGATAAAATGTAAACTAAGGCACTGAAGTGGAATACCTCTCTATACTAGTATTTGTGGGCTGTTTTTTTGAGATTTCGCAGAAGGAGGACCTGGCCGACATGCTTGCATACTCCAGGGGATAGAAGCGGCTCAGATGATAAAACAGATTTGTTGTATTCCCAGTTTTGGTCAGAACTGTTCTCCTACACAATTAAAACACAACTGTGCTCTGATCTCGGTCAGACTTGGAAAAAATAAAAATAAAAAACTGCCATTCTGCTGAGCTGACCTGTCTTTTTTTATTGACTATTTCTAATTGATTTCCTTCACTCATCTTCCCCTTCACGTTCCATGCAGCTTCTGTTCTTATGCTGCAGGTTGAGGGGCCAACCAAACTACACACCCGATTGGCTGGTTGCGTATCACTTGTGCCATGCCACATTATCAAAGGCTATGACTGGCCTTTGCTTTTTTTCTCCCCACTATGCATTGAGTAAAGTGAGTAAAGTGTAGAAAATGCATTCTATGTCCATATACAAATGGGAAAAAATTACTTGTCTTGAAAGTGTGTTAGTCAATACAAACCAATGTATCAAATATGTCAGAGCTTTTCTTATTACCTTTCTTCCTTTGCTTCTGGGCTTCCCTGTGAGGGAGAAACAACAGGTGCTGCTTGCTCTTTCCTCTTCTCATCTGAAGGTTTCTCTCCACCTCCAGGTTCATCTACAATACAAGTGACAGAAATCAAGTAAGAAAGTCATATAAGTGAGACAGATTCAAGTGACAGTCAACAATAAAGTTAGCCAAATCAATACTTTTCTATGCTTGACAGCTGAACAGCTTTGCATTGAGTAAAAATAACCTGCCTCACAGCTTTCCTTTAATGTTCCTGCAATATCTTGTGGTGTTCTTCATTGTTTCTTGAGAATATCTGTTTAGAGAGACATGTCCTTTTGGAACTTTTGCTCAAGATTACTTTTAGGCAATTCAGTCTCATTTGATAGTAGAAACAGATAAATACAGTATTTGTGTAACCAAATAAATATAGGTATAGGTATAGAAAATCACAAGTATAACAGAAATATATATCTTCTACTTCTATATCTACATCTTAAAGATGTAATTTCATCAGAAAGAAACAAAATCTTGTTCAATATTTGAAAAAACATATTGTAATGATGTCTCTATGACACAATCACTAGTATCCATCCATTAGCTATACCCACTTATTCTTTAGAGGTTCCGAGGAGATGATATTTGCTACCGGTCTGGAAATCTTCACTCAAACTGCTGGTTGCATTATATTCATTTGTGCTGCTAAACTGCTCACTTACAACACTGTGGGTAAAGAGCAACAGGACAATGGGACATTTCTGATTGCTGTTGTGCCCAGTTGCAAAGCATTACAAGAAGCAAAGGATCATTCTTGACTTGGGCTTCATAAAGCTGTGATCAACCAGTTAGAAAAAAATGCCATTATGGGATCAAATACAATCATGGGGAATAGCCTGGAAAATCAAATATATGTTTATCTAAAAAACATAAAATAAACATAGACTATGTTGGGAAAGTAATAATTACCCAAAAGCTTCTTCCATGATTTGATCAAGGACTTAGCTAGGGACGTCACCTCCTCATCTGTGCTCTGCTTGCGGATGGCGTTAACGGACATCCCAATTCTGGTAGACTGTTGAAAGACATTGTATCAGTGCATCAGGGTTTGATTGCTGCAGGAGCTGACGATGAGCCTTGAGAACAAATGAGGAAACCTGATACCTGAAGCAGCTCCAGAGTCATGGGGACACTTCGCAGCTCCTTCAGCAGGTCCAAAGCTCCAGCCTGCAGAGGGAGAGAAGGGATGGGAAGAGGAGGGGCGTTTAAATATACTTTGACCCATATCACACAACTGATCATTTGCTCCATCACAGGTGGTCAGATCACATAAATCGGTTTTCTTATACATCTCAAGCTATACAGGTAACACGTTTTATTTATTAACAGTAACATTCTACATCTAGCTAAATTGGTATTGGGTGATATCTAGCTATTATTCTTTCTATCCAAGAAAAAGTTAATCATCAAACTTTTTAATACTTGGCAATAAAGTTTATGACTGACTGAAAAAGTTAATTTCCATGTCTGCTACAAATTAATATTATAGAAGTATTTGGTTAGTTAGTTGTTTAATCAAAATAGTAAAGTGAGTTACAGTAGCTATGCGGCTAACACACTAACGCTAACTACTCAGCCACTTGCAAAATTACAAAACATAACTTAAAGGATAACTATTTCATTGAATACTTCATATCTAGCAAGTTAATTACACTTATGTTAAAATTACCGCATCCAACATGTTAATATATTGCGAGGTACAAAGCTAGCAAGTATTAGTGCGCTGTTATGTGGCTAACTGCTAGCAAATCGTTAACATAAACAGACTTGAGTGCTAACGATAGCTATTTGCGGCTAAGCTCTTAGTCACAACTAGAGGCATTAGCCTATTAGCCGTAGGGCTTATTGCTGGGGATAAGGGTGAAGTTAACGTTTGAAAAAGATATTCGAGCAAAATGTCAGTGGTGCACAGTTGTGTTAGCACTAACGGAACTGCCTAGGGGCTGATTTAGCTAGACAGTCGGCAGCTAATCGCATCACAGCCAATTAGCGCCAACGTTAGCCACACATCAACATCAGTCTGATCGGCAAACAGGTAAGGATTCATTCTCATCAGAGGTCTCACCCCGTTTTTCTTCTGCGCCATTTTATCCATCTTCTTGGCAATTCTGATTACCTCCTCTTCCTCCTTTTTACCCATGTTGTCTATTGGACTAAAAAATCAGGAGCAAAATTGGAAAGAAAATCCCTGACAAAGACAACACAGCTGGAGTGAACGCAGCAGTAGCATACACCGGGGAACTACTCTGGGACCGCACAGCAGCCGTTGTGTAGCAGACCGGACTAGTCGATGCAGGATGAGCTCAAGGGGAGTTAATCGATACAGAACCCAAGATTTCTCTTGATGTTGTTAGAGCAGCGAGTGTACATCAATCCGTGCATTAGTCAGAGAATTGGACACATTTTATGAATGCTTATATATAACTCTAGTTTCTTTAGTTCTGAACAAACGTGTCCTTCTGCAACCAAATCAAAGCCTGCATTTTGGTAATATTGCTACCCGTCGTTAGATGGCGCCAAAGTGCCAGTTGTATGCCTGCTCGAGTCAACAAATGGATTCTGCTGCTGTAAAGTGTTCAGCCAGCCTCCACAAATCAATACATGCATACTTTACCATAAATTGTTAATCACATAGAAATCTTTAAATAGCCTGTCCAGAGCTGAAGCGACCTGTTGATTAATCGATAAGTCTTATTGACAACAAATTATTCAGAAACCATTTTAATAATAGATTGTTTAAAATAAAAAATTAAGTAAAACAAAAGTATAATAGCCTACCGAAATGTCAAGGATTCAGACCTCTCAGATGTGTTTAGTTGTGATTTGTGCTGCTGTGGTCATTCTTTCAGTCTCATCTGCAGGTTTGAAATGATTATAAACTGAGTAGGCAAGTTGATTGACAGTAAATGAATGAGGCAGTATTTGATAACCGGTTAACGTTTTCAATAACTTTTTTAGGCAAAAAAAAAAAAAAAAAAA